CGTGGGCCAGCTGGAGCTGGGAGGCTGCAAACAGCTGCTCTGTGCTCCGGCATGTCAGCACTCCAGCATCTTCCAGGATAGACACTGTGGTTTTTTCAGCACTCCGGCCAAAAAATGTTCCCACCCCCTGCTGTAAATATATACCTCCATTCCATTGGCATTTGACCTCAAAATGATTTAATACACTGAACTCTGTAGTTTAGTGAAGAGATACTAGATCAGGGTCAGCAACATTTTTTGGCAATGCCAAAAACACCCTAATCTCGACTTGTAACTTCCCTGCCATCCATCCCTAACACACCAACATCTTACAAGGGACCCAATCCTTGTTGCGGCAGTGTATCCCTGTCCCCTTCCCCACTGTCCTCCCAGAGGCACATGTGTACCTGCCTCCAGCAATGAACTGGCCTGGGGCTCTACAGACAGCAGTGCACCAGCTTGCAACCTCCTCACCACCTGGTGCGAGTAGCCTGGGTTCCTTGGTGGGTGGCAGGGGCCTTCTCAGGGCCCAGGACAGTTGTGGGAGGCATCTGTGAGGCTGCTGTAAGGGAAAAAAAGGTTGACCAGCTACTGTGTAGCACCCATACACTGAAGGGTGTGCTCATACACTAAAGAGCACTGGCCATGTCCTGTCTTTGGGCTTGTTCCTAGCTGCGATTAATTTAGCACAGAATGAGGGGGTGTCAGCAAGATGATTTATTTCCCTGCAGAGGGGGGCCACTCAGTGTCACAAAGACAGAGAGTTCCCCACGAACTGAGTTTACAGCTTGGTATTTATACATTAAGCATTGCATTGCTACATTGTTGTGCGCGCATTCGGGTTTTTTTCCTTGCTGTTACAAAATTACAAAACACGGTACAGAGCAAGCTTGGGCCGGTTGAGACTGGTTTTGCAGTTACACGTTACTGTCAGCGAGAAGTACACGTCACTTACTGTCAGCAAGAGGTGATCTTTTAATTTTAGGGGAAAAAAGATCATTTGCTTTTTCAAGGGTCATCTGCTTTTTATGATTGTATTGCCGTTTTCTCTTACAGTGCAAACCATTTCACCAAGATCTGCGGAGCTCCAGCCCAGCTCATTGCTGGCAGCAAATCCCTGCTGTCTGCCCGGAGGCACGCATGTAAGGGGCCGAAGCTGCACTGCCACAACAAGGATTGGGCCCTTCATGGCTTGCTGCCATCTGCCCTGAGGCATGTGTCCATCTGCTGCTGTCAATGAGCTGGGCCAGACCTCAATGCAGTGGCCTTCAGCCTCTTGGCTGCCTGCCAGTCAGACTGGGCTCTGGGCAAGCCCCTGCCACCTACCACGGAGCTCAGGCTGCTCGCAGCAAGTGGCAGGAGGCTACAAGCAGCTGCCCCAAAGTCTGTGGAGCCCTGGCCTGGCTCATTTCCAATGGTGGGTGCACACGCACCTCTAGGCAGACAGCAGAAAAGCTGTGAGGGACCCATCCTTGTGGCAGCACAGCTCCTGCCCCTTCTCTGCCATCCACCCTGAGGTGCACATACTAAGCAAAATGCCTTCACATACCATGCTCTGGCATGCTGCTGGAGGTTCCAGACCCCTGTATTAGATAAACAAGCTCTATACTACTGCAACTAAACTGTTTCTGATATCTAGGCTACTTAGTAACCTGGTACTTCTCTACTATATTATAGAGTGTGGCATTAAGTTATTTTGAGATCAGATGGCAATGGAACTGAGGCAGAAGGCAGAGCAGAGTCACACCTTATAGATTAACTAATTCCAAGATGCATAATTTTTTATAAGCAACAGCTCACTTCATTAGATGCTATGAAAAAACATACAGGGAGCAGGTGTTCAAACAGAAAGAGTAATCTGAAAGTGATCTGTTGCTTACAAATGCTCATGCATCACCAAATTAGTCTATAAAAGGTACAATTCTACCCTGGCTTCTGCCTGACCTCTAGCTAATGTGGCCAACTATCTTTTTATGCTAATGGAATGGAGCTTTAAGGGATAAACCGTAGAAATTGACTAATTTGCCCCACTAGATTGAGTCCAGTATCCAACTTAATTCATTAGTTTGGGTACCTGTCCTCTCCACTGCAGTGGGAAGTGCAGATATGCTCTTAGGCCAATTTATAGAACTATGAAATTCCTCTGTATGTTGTAGGACTTTATCTCCAACACTATAAATAGGCATTGCATTTATCCTGGGAGGAAGGGTTTTGTCTGAGGACCTTACAAACATAAGAGGCCACTGTCCCTCTTCAAGTCCTGCTAAATATGTGAGATAAAAATGTGCTACCACTTTTTCCCAGAACACTGTGTTTTGTATCTGTAAGGTTATTGAGGGTTATTCCCTAAGAAGCTGACCAGGATGTGTGCTTTTTCAGACCACTACTGGCAAAGGAGCATCAATGAAATTTGGAACGACTACACATGTAAATGACTGTTCTACATCTGTTTTGATCCACGTCAAAGACCAGGATGATTAGGATTGTATTAATTGTAGTGTCTGTTTGCATCCCAAGGTATTCCTTCAGCTAGGCCCAGGAGCCTTCCTCCTTTCCTACCTCAACTAAACAGAATAAACAAAACATCAACAACCCATCCTATCCAGGGCAAGGGCTTCACCACAGTTCTTCAGTGCTGTCTTTCCTCTCAGCTTCCCTCTCCTCTAGCAT